CAGCGTGACCTTGGCAGCTGTCAATGCCATTCAGGCTCCACTCGTGCTCGAGCCAGCCCGTCCCTCTTGATCCTGTTCTGTGTAATTTGCGCGCTTAGCATATTTTTAGGCGCTGCAAAGTTTTTGGCACATTTATTGTGTTTACCATAACCCCCTCTCCTTGATTTTACGACCAACCCCCAAAGGAACCCATCAAACGCTGGTCGTTTATGTGGGCAACAAAGGGTTAAGGTGGCCTGCTGTCGAAGGCAGGCAATTTCTAGGGATCAAGTGGTTCGATGGTCGAACAACTTTTCGAGTGGGTGTTAAAAGTTTATTCATATTTGGCAGCACTATAGGTATCATCAGTTAGAATGATTTCATAAACTTAAACTCTCCAAATTTAAGTAGAATATTCATCATATATATATATTTATTAGCTGGATGTTGAAATATTTCTATTCATCTCTTAAACAATTTCTTCAGAATCAGTACATTCCTGGAACAGAAGCGAAAGAATATTTATCAATCATTTCCAAATTCTCTTTTTTGACACTTGTCAAAATAAAATTCCTGGTAGTGAGATATTTCTAAAAATATATATACTTCTTACTTGGAAGAAATATTACTTTATATTTTTCTTGGATAAATATATTTAACTTTAAATTTTAAGTATTTTTGTTAAGTTGCTCACTGACGATCATTTCTATGAATACTTTTTATGAAAAACAAGCTTTGTTTTTAGTTTTAGGTACACGCTTAGCATAAATCTCTTATTTTTCAGCTACTATAATCATACTAAATGTCATTTCCGTTTAACTGGACCCCAAAGTTTATCTTTATTTCTAATTAAATGACTTGGTTTTGAGACGTCGCATGATTTTTTTAGGTCAACTAAATATTTTTCATACTTTTAATTTCGTCCCTGTGAATCAGTTTATAAGGTAAGCAAATTACTCATACGCCACCGTTGCTTATCTCCCCTCTCTCTCTATTTCTCTCACTGTTTGACCATCCTCCTTCCCGCTTTCCTGGCAATTTGTGTTTGTAATTTCAATTATGGTTTACACGAGTGCTATTGTTGTTGCGACCGTTGGTGACGCTGCTCCTCCCCCACCTCCTCTTCTCTCAATATTAAGTATACGCCCGAGTTCGTTCGCCAGCTGCATTTGGCATTGACGGCTCCCCCCTCTCTCTCTGTCTCTCGCCGTCTTCCTCCCACCCACTAGCAGCCGTCTGCTATCAGTTCTGTCGACGTCAACGCCGACTGCAGGCCGTCGACTGCAGTTCAAGTTCAATGTCAAGCGCATTTTGCTGTTGTGTTTATATTTTCGAGTGTATGCCGACGCGATTGTGTTGGTATTCTCATCCGTGTGTTTGCCGTGCTCACTCTTCTTCTTTCCCAGCTATAAACGTATGTTTTTGTTTATTTTTTACCGTTTATTTTATCAATGCTGTTATTTTACCTTTACGAAGGGAGGCAAATTTGATTTATTTTTAAGGCGGTATGTTTTTTTCTTTTACCTGTTAGCTTGGAAGGGAATTTCTCAGAATAATAGTTAAAAATCTAAAATATTTATTTAACATTTTATTTATAATAATATAATAATCACTAAACAATAGACAAAATCATAGAAAGTACTATAAAAAGAACAATATCCCCTTAAAATATAATAGCTTATTTGGCGCCTACACACATTTTTCAAACTATTTGACTGACGAAGCGATGTTAAGTTCTAAACTATTAGTGTGTGAAGATTAGCAAGATAGTACCATATTGCCATCAAACGAGCCATGAAAGGTGAACGAACTATGTGACTTAAACTGCTAATAGCTGTAGTTGTGGACTCACATTACGTACTATGAAAATGTGGCTGCCAACATACGTAACTATAAAATCTATCTATTAAATTACCCCACTTCCCGGATCGATTCTACGCACTATAATCTATGGAAAAAAAAAAGAATATACTGTCGCCAGGCTGGGGAATATATAAATCGCCATATTTACGGACTCAGACTTGGAACCCAGTCGAAAAGCAGGCACGAACAAAATCCCCTGGCAAGTTCACAGGCAAACCCTCAAGGACAACTCGCGCATAATTCCAAATGAAATGTATAACCATTAGGGGCGATCTACGGACTTCAAGGGGAGGGGCTGGAGAAGGCGGGTGCTGAGCACGCGGCACATAAATGAAATTTATTATATGTATATACTGCGCAAAATTTTCTATACATTTGCCATCGAAATTCTTCTTCTTCTTTCCACCGCTCTTGTTGTTGCTTTTATTCGCTATTTAGTCTATTTATTTGGTGCGAGTGTGCTGCCATCTCTCTCCCACCCAGGGTGCTTCTATGGCCCCCACGGGAATATATCAGCAAAGGCTTAGCACCAACAAAAAGCGAAGAGCAAACAAAAAGTGCGTAGACTGGGGTTAACTAGGGTGAACGGTGCAATACCCTCTAAATTCATCATCGAACACCCTTTAGCTGTTGATACTCTTGTAGCTATATATTTAAAAAAAGGTTTTAGGTAGTAAACCATCTCTCTGATTTTTTAAGTATTTTTATCCTTTTAACCTTTATTTAATAAATAGGGTTAATAATTCCTTCGATTACCACAACATTCATGGGGAAAAGCATATAAAATATTTCTGTTACGTAAGTGTCTAGAACTTTAAATAGAGATCTTAATATATGTTAAACACCTTGAAGCATAGAAGAAGAATATATTTTTAAAAAATAAAATTGTTTTTACAAAAACTATTATTATATTCAATAACCAGCCTAGCAAAAATAGGAATTGAATTAAAATAAATACAAAATCTTCCTTCAGAAGCCTTTAGGGTAGATATACATATCTAAAATTCAATAACATATATGTAAACCCCCGATCTGTCCCAATATACCCGCCACTATAGTCTAGAATATCAGCACTCGGCAATAATAGCCAAAAAATGCCTAAAACCAAAGACCAGAGGCCTATGCGCTGACGACAATGGTTATATGGAGTGATATATAGAACGAGAGAGGGAGATGGCTGAGTGAGTGAGAGGGGGCTAGCAATCACATGCGTACGCACGCGTGCAGTTCGTTGGGGAGGGGGGTTCTTAAAAGAGCAGGCAGAAGGGGCGGTAGAGGGCGGAGCTCCCCACACGCACTGGCCAAACGCGTTGCGTGAGTTTTTTTCTTATTTCAGCGCGTGCTCTCATCAAGCGTTGCCCGCTCTACCTCACCCTTTAAAGCTGTCATCCCTGTCCCCCCACCGCCCCCTCTCCATCACTGCTAGAACTTTGCTAATTTCGTCTAATCAGCTAACCTTGAATATTTGTTTTATTTCCCCTCCACCGATCCCTCGGGTGTATTTATTCTCGTTTTATTCTTCTTTTTTTTCGCCGTCGTTGGAATTTGCTCTCTGGCGCTGCTTCTTCTTCTACGCGCGAGTTGTTGTTTGTGCCTTAATTTATTTGAGGCTTGTTTTATTTCAAGGTGAAATATGCGCAAATAAAAATTGCCGAAAAGAATATCGAAAGAAAATTGCCAAAAATATCAGGCTAAAGTTGGGTGAATCTCATCGGTGGGCAACGAATTTTAGATGCCCTGTTACTCTATATACTTTTTTTTTATAATTTGATTATGATGCTATGACTTATATTAACACAAAATTTTAATAGTAAAATAATCTATTTAATTGTTTGTTAAGAGTATAAAATATCCTATAAAATCGTACTTCATATTTTTAAATATTAAAATAAAAAAAGAAATAAGGGGTATATAATATTGAAAGTACGCAAATCTTCTTTATTTTCTAAGACTATCTTACAAATATTCATAGATTACTATTTCACTTCTGTGCCATCTTAGAGCTTGATCAAGTGTGTTTTTACTATTATATTGTCATTCTAAAAGCACGTAACAAAGTATCAACCAAGTGATTACCAGATCATCGAATAAGAAGAGCAGCCATTGATTGATTCCCTGGGCATCCCTAACCGCAGGAACCCTCCCATTACTACCCTTCCCGCCAAAATGCAATGCATTGCAGCATTTCCTGCTTGTCACTTGTCGCCTGTCACTCGTTACTCATACGCCACGGTGCCCACACTAAGTTAATTTGTTGCGCTCTTTCAGTCTCGTTTTTTTTTTCCTTGTTCTTGTTCTTTTCCTTTTTCTGATTCTAATTCCGCCTCTGTCTCGCGTCGCCACCCTCCTTTTTCCACCTCATCTCGGTTGGCTTTGACATTGACTTTGAAGATAACGAAGTGTGTGTCCGTAGTCTTTGTGTTAGTGTCCTCAAGTGGCTCACTTTTTCTCTCTCTTTCTCTTACACTCTTAAAATTAGAATACAGTCATACATTATAGCTGCTCTTATCGGTGTTGGTGGACAGCGGTAGGGGTGTGGTGGGTGGGATGAGTGTCTGCCTATCGCTGGCATCGACTATTGTTATCTACACGCGGCACTCACGCTGCCCAGACGCTTTAACCAGCTAGGGCCACCCCTTGCCACCCCTGCAACCGTTGCCATCCCCCATATGACTATAACAACAATGCTGATTTGATTATTTCGGCAAATTCATTTCGCGACTCTTATCGCCTCAAGGTCACGGGCAAAATTCCAAAACACACACGCACACCGACCAAAGCTTAGGACAGACAGGCGCGACATTGAAAATAATCGCTATTCTCGGCAACCGCAAAAAATATTCGTATCTGTATGTGATAAGCTTTGGGCGCCTGTGAATATATAGTACTGTTGTACGATTGATTGCCAGAAGGGGAGGGGCAGGTCGGCAGCTATAAGTGCTTCCAAGGGTTACTAAGAATCGGTGACATTGTAGTCACTATCTCTAGTTAAGTTTAGGGCTTAGGGTTGGATGATTTTTAGGAACTTGATTTTCGAAGAATATTTTAAAATTTAAATAACTATGAAAAAGTTTTGAGATTTAGAATATACTTTATATTTCTTTGAAACTTACCCTCCTGAAAAGATTACCAAAGTTCAATAAAAACACATACGATTTCTTTTTCATAATTTTTGTTGATATATTTTAAATACTTATTTTCAATATTTTATTCACATATTCCATTCTGGGGGTTTTTCATTGTGTTTCCATTTAAAACAAACTGTAATATTATGTTATTTCACAAATACAAATTTCTGTTGTTTTTTTTTTGTTTTTTATGGAGATTTAATCAATTTTCAGAACATTTCTCTTCGCTTTCTTTATCGCTGTCTCATTTTTCACATTTTTTTTTACCATTTTTGCCAAATTCTCTTGTTTAAAAACTCTTTTTTGCCGCAATTTGATTTGTGACTGTCCTTGAAAATATATTCATGTGTATATATATATATTAATAGATATTATTTATACGGTATTTCATATGCCTCAGCTGGAGTTGCCTCGAAGTTGCATTAATCTTTTCAATGTTTTAGTTGCTATTACGTTACGTTAAACTCTTACGGCTGTTTACGGATACGTTTTACATATACTTTACGTTACGTTACGCTTAATTGTCGCAATTTCATTGTTTCAGTTGTCGCTGCCGTCGTTCGGTTGGATATTCTCTATAATATCCATCACCATCATCATCATCATCGTGATGATCATAAACACTCATCTCCTACATCATCATCATCATCGGTCATGCTGAGATAGTTTTTACATAAAATATTCACTTTTAGTTACACAATTACAATGTTTTCTTGTTGTTCTTGTTGTTTTTTTCTGGCTAAAAGTTACGGACAATGTTACATACACCTACATACATACATACACACAGACACCAAAACCGTTTCATCTACGTACATATGCTGGTGTGTATATATAGAGTCAATTATTGAAGTGTGATATCTTTGTTAATTTCCCGTGGTTTTCCGTCAGGTGGAACCAACGCTGCTTCCTTACGCTGCATAAATTTTAAAAGAATATAATATTTCTTGTAGATTTTCCCCTGCCCTGCACTGGGGCTTCTTAATTTTTTTTTCTTTTTTTTACACATTTTCCTTGTGGCTCATTTATACACATAAAATTGTTGTTGATTTAATTCTGATATATAAATACTTTAGATATAATTTTGTGAATATTTTTTACAGCACACGGTAGTCGAAACGAAAACGAAATCAACTGAAGCCTGAAATCTTACCATTCCAAAGAAAAGTAAAGAAAAACTGAAAATCGTTCAACTGAAAAAGAAAATTAAAATGAAAAAACTTAAGAGGTTTTTTTTTGAAATTTTTAAACAAATTTTTTATTGATTTGACAATACAAATTTCTGCGCCAGTGTAATTTTTTGTTTGTTTTTTTGTATTTTTTTTTGTTGTTTTTGCATCTTTGTTTTTTGTTGTTGTTGGTTTGTCTAAGCATAAAAATCGTAATTAATTAATCATAATAATTAATAATCATAATAGTACAGCATAATTAAAATGTAATTAATATAATAGTTTTGTTGCTACCGCAAGTTTTCTCTTTTGTTTTCTTTTCTTCTGTAATATAAATGTATACTTTACTTTTAAATAATATATCATAATTTCTGTTGTTTGTTTGTTTGTTTTTTTTTTTGTATTTTTCGCTTGGTTTTCTAAGATGCCAATCAAACGTTGAATCTTTTAAGCATAGGTTTCTCTTCATTAATATTTACGCGTATTTATATGTACTTTAAATATGTTTTTTGTGTTTAATTTAACATTTAACTATGTACACAACAGATATATTTAACGTTGGGTTCCTCTGCTTCATCGTCGTCTTACTGCTTTGTCTGCTAAAACTTGAAGCATTTTGTTTGATTTTCATTCATTTCGTGTTTACTTTTTAATTGTATTTTGTTTGTGGTAGTTTTTAAAATTAGAAAACAATATTTATTCCACTTGATTCTTTAGCAAAGAGAAGAGCTTTGTGCCAAAGGAGAAATCAGGAATACGGATAGCCAAGACAGCTAGATAGACAGACAGATGGATATATAGAAGGGTGGAAAACTATAACAAATTCATAAAATTAGTTAAATTCATAAAAAATGAATCGTTATCAACTTAATCGTAGTTAAAATTTGTTGCAAACTGCACTTCAATTCTGCTCGGAGATCGCACAATAAAAAAATTTCACACACATTGTTTTTGTTTTTGTTTGTTTTTGTTTTTATAGGTATTTAAAAATTTAATAATAATAATTTGCAGTTTTTTCAAAAAACATCCAAAAAAGCAAAGTAGTTTTGCTCCACCTACAACTAAAGCGCTAAACATAGTTACTAATAAACGTAATTAATATGTACAACAAGAGCTTAAAACTTATAAAACAATCAGTGGGGGCCTGGATAGAAGGGGGTTGTGAGGGGCGTTTTGGGTAGCAGCTGAAGAAAAGTCAATGCAAAATCAGAGCGCTGCCTTGTTTTTGTTTTTGTTGTTGTTGTTGTTGTTGTTGGTTTCTTGCTACGTTAAAGTTTAACTGCTAAAATATATTTATGTTTTTTTTTCTGTTTTTCATTTTCATTTGTAATACCATTCAAGCTTGGGTTTTTTTGTTGTTTGTTTTAAATTAATAACTTGTAGTTTGTTTTGTTTGTTGTTGCTTTAAATATTAGTTTTTAAATTGCATGCATGTTGGTTTTGCTTTGAAACTTTGTACACGGCTCAATTAAAAGGTAAAATAATTTAATTCAACTCCCGCCGATCCACGAGATCATCCTTGTGATCCTGCATTCTGCTCACTGTTCACTGCTCACTGCTTCCCGCTGAACTGCCACTCCCAGTCTCTGTCTCTCCCACTTCTCTTTGATTAACCACCTACCTCCCTCTCTTACGCCTCCAGCATGACCTTGTGCACGGTGGTGTTCAGGCCCGGATTCGGGGAGCCCACACTCGCTGGCGGACTGCTGCTGGGCGCCGGACTTGCTGCCGCAGATGGAGGACCACCGCCATTCGAAGCGGTCACCGTGACATCGGCGGACAAAGTGGGATACCGCTGAACGGCATTGGCGGCGGCCACCAGAGCGTGCAGCTTGCTGGGAGGCGGCGTGGGCGATTTCTTGGACAGATTGAGCGGCTGCGCCGAGTCGGCGATGTCCACCTGCAGTTCCAGCATGGGTGTGGCATTATTCGAGCCCGAACTGGAGCTCGCCGGGGCACTGGTACCGTTGCTGGTGGAGTGCGGCGACTGGAAATACTGGCAGCTGCTGGCCGAACTGGAGCTGCAGTTTGAGGATGTGGAGGAGGAGGACGAACTGGAGCTAGAGCTGGAGCTCGAACTGGAGCTAGAGCCATTGCTGTGCGGCGAAACGGACTGTTGGCGCTGCTGGCAGGTGGTGGTGATCACCGAGCTGCTGGGACTGCGGTTGCCCACCCCGTTGGTGGTGCTGCTGGCAGCTGTGCTGTTCTCCCGCTTCAAGTAGTTCTGGATAATGTCGCTGCGCTTCATCTGCTCGGGCGTCATGCGGGGCTCGGCCATCAGAGATTTGGCCAAAACCGAGTGCGAGCTGGCCATCGAGGCCTTCGGGCTGCTGCGGGTCAGGTGCATGTGCAGCTGGCTCTGGGCGGGATTTCCTAGGGCGGCACTGGCCACCACCGAAGGCGGGGGCGTGGCCACACTATTCGGAATGGGGCTCTGCCGCGGACTGCCGGCACTCAGGCTGTTCGAGCCGGAAGTGGAACTGCTGGCATCAGCCTCAGCTGTTTCGAACTCACGATGCCGCAGGGCTCGGAACTTCTTGTGTGGCTTATAGGCCTCGTCCATCAGCGAGTTGGTATCATAAAGTGGCGGAGCCTGGAGCACGCGCTTCAGTACAGGCATATCCTCTACAATCTGCCGCTTGAGATGGCCACTGCTCGAGGGTTGGGGCGAGCGAACTGGCGATACAGCCACCACACTCAACTGGGGATGTTGCACCACCTGAGCTTGGTTGGCGGCGGCATCACTGCAGTCCAGTGCATCGTCGACACTGGAACGCGGACTTGAGCACGAGGAACTGCCCCCGGAACTCACCGCTTTGCATTCGTTCTTCTCGTTGCCCGACTCAATGCCCGAATCCGTGGGCGAGTCCAACTTCCTGTAGCGGGCCGAACCGGCTGTCAAATGGTGGTGCAATTGTGGGTGCTGCTGGTGGTGGCACAGGGCATGTCCGCCGTTCAAGTTGCGGGAATGCGAGTTGTTGACATTGTCGCTCAGTGGGAGGATTCCTGTAGGGCAAAATATAAGGAAAACGAAAACCATGAGCAAAAATAGGAAATGGTTTTTATGTTTACAAAAGAAAGAGCAGAAACTCTTAAGAAAATTTTTAATTTATTTAATAATTTAAGTTTCTTTATTTTAAATAGAAAGTAAAGACAACTTACCGATCTGTTGCTGCTGCTGTTGTTGCTGCTGGTGGTGTCGCACAATCGGCGTGATTGTCAGCCCATTCTGGGTGAGATGTGCATGCGAGCCAACGATGTCCATGTCAGCTGCTCCGGAATCACCGCTGGAACCGGAATTGGCCCTATTTCTCAGTGGGCATCCGCCGGAGAGAGTGGCGGCCAGCAGGGGAGCTGAACTGGCCAAAGCCGAGGGCTGCTGCTGTGGTGGTGAGGGCAGGGACACGCCCTGTGGCTGCGAACTGCTCGGACTTCCATAATCCAAATCAGCAGATTCACTACTCGAGACCGAGCCCAGGGGGCTCTTTGCTGCCTCCACATCCATGGCATCTGCCCAGCTGCCCGAAGGCGACTTGTTCTGCTGACCATCGCTGTTGTTACCGTCCTCCATGGACCACATTTGCTGACGCAACAGTTCCTTGTGTTCGGTGCGGAAAACAACCAGCTTCTCGGTGTGCAGGGTGCTCAGGGTGCGCAAATCAGGCATGGTTTCCAGCAACTTGGCCAGGAACTCGGGCTGATCGGGCCTATTCTGGGCCACAATATACTGCAGGCAGCCCTTGAGCCGGGAGTACATCTTCTCGATCAGCTCCAGGTTACGCAGACCGGGACGATCTGGCGTGATCAGAACAATGGCGCAGAACAGGCCAATCTCGGCATCTGTCAGGTTCATCGAGTTCATGCGCTCCGCAAAGTTAAAGGTGGAGTCCACCAAGAAGCGGGCATTGGCTCCATTCTGGATGGCATCCCGTCGCATCACCTGGCCATTCAGGCAAATGATTGAGTTTATCGACGAGTCAAACATGCAGATCAGGCGCACGAACAGGGCATCGAAGAGACCCGCCTTCAGGAGCGTGAACTTATCGTCCTGGGTGAGCAGCTGGAAGCCGGGAATCATGCCGGCAAAGTCGATAACGCCGCGGATTACGTGGGCAAAACGCTGCGAGAATTCCTGCTCCGATTGCAGTTCAGGGGCGGGGTTCAGCGGACAGGCCTGTAATGATAGGAAAAACAAGAGGTCGAGGGTTAGAAAGGGATTGCTAATATTCTGAGGAACATAAATTGGAATCCCCAATGATTCTATTAAACTTAGTATCAAAATACTTGCAGTAACTGTCAGAGCTGAACTTTTCCTCAGTAACTGTTGCTTGGCTATTTAGTTTTCCCCGCACCCCATCACGTCATCGCTTATTTCACACGCGAAGGTCAGCGAACCTCCCCTCCTGGCCCACTCATTTGAATCAATAATAATAACTATTTGTACTTCCGCACGCCCACCACACCGAGCTATCTGCCATCTCTTTCGTTCACTACAAATGTCGCATTTCCTTAAACACCGCTGGAAGCTTTTCACAACAAATGCGAGTACAAAATAGAAGAAAGAAAAGCTTCGCCTACGTCAGCTGGCTGTTAGTTTTTATAGTGTTAGTTTCTAGGGGCTGTCTCTTGCTTTCCCCACCCCATTTCTACCCCATTGTCGAGAGCTTTTTTCGCCGCTGCTGCTGCTGCTGCTGCTGCTGACATTAGCAGCCAAGGTCGACGAACTAGAGTTCAAGGTTCCGGATTCCGGATTGTGTGCTGTTACTATAGTTGTTTTCTTTTTCCTGCTAACGGCGCGTGTTTTTTTTTTTTTTTGTTGGGCTATAGAAATGGAAAAGGGGGAGGAGTTGCTCCTAGTCTAAGCCAAGCGAATGTTCATGTTATTTCGCCATTTGGCTTTCCGGGTTTTGAGTTACATGAACATGCGCCAAGTGCCCCAGACAGCGAACGTGCCACCACCCAACCCCCCTTTTCTTCCCACCCATCATCTACATCTACCCACCATTGTTTTCAACAACTTGATTTTTAATTTACGTTTGATTTCATGTGTGTTTTTCTGCCGCTTTTTTTCTTTTTTTCGTTCTGATTCAATAAGCACACGTTGTGCTGTCTGCAGATGCTTCTTTTTCTGTTTCGATTTTCGTCTGATTAACCTTGAAAATGTGTTTTCTGTGCAAAAAAATCAAAAATAAAACAAAAAACAAAAAAGAATAGAACGAAGAGAGAGGGAAATTGTGGTAGCCGGCAACCGGCAAGCAGATTTTCCCCTACACATTTTCTTTTTGCCGGCGCTTTGACGTCGTCGTATCATTTGATTTTTCGCCACGAAAATATTTCTCATTTGCGCAAAAGCGGAAATAGTTTGCGAAAAATACTACTGAGTGAGTGTGAGTGTGTCTGGCGGCGGGGGCTATTTATGACTAGATGCCCCATTTGGTATACCGCCCTGCTCCACCCCCTTGAATTTCCTGACAAATCACCAGATCCGATCCAAGGCGACCTTCAATTGGCGTTTCTTCTTGTCTTTTTGCCAAAAATAATTCCCAGAACTCTTGTACCGTCTGATATGGACTGCTGCTAGATTGAATAATCTCGAGGGCTAATCGTTTTGGCTAGAAGAATTTCAAATTCTATATCTGTTCCTAGTCTAAATTTCAACAAGATCGCTGAGACTTAACCTCACCTTGCACCGCCGGCGAATCTTCCGCCTTCCGTCATAAACAGAATATTACGACGCTTCCTAATGAACCACCTGACAATCTTACAGATTGCTCTCGCCGTACTAAAGTCTCTCAATGTACTATATCTATTATATACTATACAGATATATATTGCAGTTTTGTGACGCCGTTTGTCTGGCATTCGCTTCCTCATACTCATGACATTTTATGCATATTTTTTAGTGCCATTATTGTTTACTCATATATATGTATATATATAGTGGAAATATCAACTGCAAACAGAGAAAGAGAGGGAAGCGAATCCGTTCATTTCGTTTTTGCCAAGGTTAAAAAGTAACTCGCCCCAAGGTCGTCGTGTGTTATATACTAAATGTTAGCACTTCTTAACCTGTCGATCGCATTTGATTTCGTTCTTTCTTTTCTTGAATCAACAAATCAAATTTTTTATACTTTTTTCAGCCTTGCACTTGATTCTAACTTTGTCCCTCTGCTTTTCCCCACTTTTTTGTTTCTCGCTCGTGTCGTTTTTAAATATTTTAATAATAATTTATTTAAATGGGCGACGCATGTTTCTGGCCCGCTCTGGCCGTCTCTTTCTAATCCTGTGCTCGCTCTCTGTCTCTCTGACTCTCTGTCTCTTTCCTTCCCCCCCGCGATAGCAGTGTATGTGCTTTCATTAATAATGACGCTACGCTTGACCTTGAGCTTTAGAACTTTGTTTGTGTACTTTGTTGTTGCCGAGAGCCGGGACACGTTTTTTATACACACTCATATTTGCCTATGTATATGTATATGCCTGTGTATGAAGCACTTTTCTTTATCGCTATTGTGGAATGTTTTTTTTTCGGGGTATTATTTACAGCCCCCGAATCTTGAACTTCCTCTATTCGGCGCCCCAATCCACTTCCTCTGACCCCAAAGAAAAACCCCAATGACGTCGATTGTAAAATCAACAGAAAATGGAATTTACAAACATTAGAGAAATACAAACGATAGCTAGCATTCATCATTCAGCTGTCAGGGGGAAACGTCATAAATCTGACATTGACAAGCTTTTCGTCAAGAACTTGACCCCAAACTTGCCACTTCAATGGCCACGTTTGGAGGCCCCGCAAGAATTGCCGAAGACTCGAACTCGCTTGTAGACGCGTCTACGTGTGGCCAGCGATTTCCTGGTTTAGAATCGTGCAAACAGGTTCACCTTGGCGCATGACTAACGCCGTCAGTAGGCAGTAACCGCTCTACCAGTGAGCGAGAAAAAGAAAAAGGCAGTTACTAGCTAGTCGACTACGTTTGTTATTGCTATTGTTGCCACCGATCTGTGCATGTCAACAGAAGTCGGCGGCCCGGAAATGTGACTTCGCCTACGCCGTAACCTTTGGCGGACTATTAATAATGTACTAACTGATAGACATGGACATAGGGCTGGTGGCATTTTCATAATTTTATGGCCAATGGTTATTTATGATGCCGCTGTAAATGGAGTTGTAAAATATCCACGGTTTATGTTTGTTTGTTCTCATTTGGCATGTGTAACTCAATGCTAACCATTTAAATCACCGCTGGATAATAAATCTATTTCCTATGATAAATATCTCAAAGTAACTAGCTTTTCCAATGACTTCCTTCTACAATACTTTCCATTTAAATATTAATTTAAGATAGAAAAACGAAACTCACCAAAAGTGTGGGCATGGAGTAAGAGGGGCAGTCCCGTGCCCGCTGCCTCATCGCCGAGACCTTCTCCTTGGTGAACTCGCAGGTCTCGAGGTGGGCGCGCAGCACGGCGGCGAGGAGGCGTGGCTGGTCATCCAGTTCGGTGGCAAGAGCTCTTTGCTGACCACGATTCTGGGTGCTCTGTTGCATGGCCGCCAGGATACGCGCCTTTTCGCGCTTCGGCACGCGTCCAAAACGCACAGCTGCAATGATACAAAAATATGGCATTTTCGGTTAGTTTTCGGCCTTGTAAGCGGTACTTAAACTTAAACTTAAACTTAAACTTGAGCATAAAATTAAGGGCACCCCTTCAATTACACACTTCAGTGCACGCAGAGCAGGTGCAACGGACAGCTGGTGTCCTGTTGTCACGCAGGAAGTGCCCCTCATTCCCCCTTGCAATTTACTGCCCTTCGAAGTGGGTCATTGCCTCAGCTGCCTCTGTATATCTTCAGTCTGTCAGTCTTCAGTGTTCAGTCTTCTGCAGTCTTCTCTCCCCTGTTACACTTTCTCTTTTTTTAGATTTTTAATTTCTGCCTTTGGCCGCAGCCGAAAAATTTGTATGTGGGTGAACTTTCACATTTCACCAACCAGAGAGAGGGAAAAAATCAGGCACGTTTGCGGTCACGTTTTTCGCACTAGGAATAAATCAAAGGGAAATGCAGATGTGAGGCATCGATAAAAGTTGGTCGAATTGTGGGCATGCTAATTGAGAAAAAGGTTTGCCAACACATCAGACGGAATATATATCTTTCCTCATAAATTTTCCATCTCATTTGAGCCGTTTACCCAAAGCCATTTACAACCATCTTAAACAAAATCTGACAAATGTTTGGCCAACTTTTCAATGTCAAAAGAAATTTCTACTCGCACAGTTTCACTCCGAGTTGGTGGCAAAAGTGAAACAGCTTGGTGGCGGTGCGGCGGCTCTTTAACTGATTTTTCACCGCTTTTTCCAGCAGCCAGCGAGAGAGTGTGACCCACTTGCTGCGCAGCGAAATTCAGGTCAAACGAAATGGAAAATGAAGTCTGCGCAGGCGCAGCGTCGGACTGCGCGTAGAAATTAGAGCGACGCGCCGCAACGTCCAACTTTCCCATGCGGAGAGACCTGAAAAAGTTGGTCAAACATGCGATATTGTTGCTCCGCTCTTTCGGCTCTTTTATTTTGTATTTTGTTGGATTTGTATTTGTTTTTTTTTCTTCGTTTTTTTTTTTTTAGAAAATAGCAACGCAACGCTGCCTTCGCCGCAGTTTCGATTCAAGTTTAAAGCTCTTCCGCGGCAAAGAAAAAATTATTGTATGTTTATAAACGAGGTCAACACTTCAATGGCGCTCGCTTTTGGTTGTGGCCTGTTGCTATTTGTTTGGAGCCATCGACAAGAAGTATAAAAAAAGGTAAACAAAAAGCGAATCAAAAGTGGAGAATCTCAGAACGCGCCTGCATTTCTCTGGGAGTTAATTCGTTTTTTTTTTTTGGAAACCGAAAGCTGGGTGTTATTTGAATTTTGTTGAACTCTTTTTTCTGGCCAAATCTGTGTCAGTTGGCTTAGGGAAATTGGCTTGGCTGGCTCTTTCACTTTCTAAGTTGGAGTTTTGTGCGACTTTCGGATCGGTTAACTTACGCGCATTGTGATAGTTGACGTTGCCCTTAAGTATGCCCTTCAATATCGGCAGTTCTTCGCCCATTTTGATGTTTTCTGTGTTTGATTTCGGGGTTTATTTTGGCGAAATATCTTGAAATCTTGACTTGGTCACTTCTCCCTTTGGGGGCACATCAACCACTCAGTTGAGCTTGCTCATTAAATATTTTTCTTGATTTGGGTTTTTGGATTCTTCTTGGTTTTTGGCACACACACAGCTTTTTGGTTGGTACTCAGGTACATATGGATATTTGTTTGAGAAACTTGTTATCTTGTTTGCACTTAATCTCGGTTAAATATTTTTGCAATTAACTGCTGTTTTGTTGTGAGAGGAACTTTGTTTGCTTGCTTTTCACATTGATTGAATATTTCTTTTCTTTTTGGATGTTTAGCAAATAAATTAATGGTTAATTTGGTTGGTTTGATTTTAGGCGCGTAATCCAGACAGACGAGTGTGTAGTAGTAGTGGGTGTTGATTGAGTGTTTTGGAGGAGACTTAGTCGACTTTTCTTCACATTAACAATTGCATTTAACATTCATTGGCATTATTCAGCATTTTGTTTTATTTCATATAATTTAATTTAATTTATTTTCATTGATATTCAATTTAATTATTTGTGGCAACTGGCGCACTCGCGTTATTCTTGGCTTATTTCGGATCCCGCGGATCGCTGGCTAATATGACAAAACTCGACAAGGTCTCGAACGCGACTAACTGTAAAAGCCAAAGCGCGTTACGAATATACCCAGAGTACGGTATAGTATGGTATGGTATGCTATGGCATATGGTATCGGTATCGGGCAAATCGAGGAGAGCGAACCTCAACTGCGGCGACTGCGACGGCGACTGAGCTTCGGTCTCAAAACAGAAACACACAAGCGGAGAAACGGAGAACTGAAAACGCCGCACAAAACACACAAAAAGCCGCAGAGGCAACGACCAACGGAGCGCTCGAAAGAGAGCCAGAGAGCGGTGTTAAGAGCGGGAAAAGCTCTTTGTCAACTGGTCGACCATTGTTATTGTGTGGGGGCAACAAACCATTGAAAGAGAACTGAGACCAGTGATAAGGTGTGTAATTCTAATACCTAAGTTTGGTTCATAGGAACTATCATTGAATAAACCGTCTTCGTTTTGAAGCGTGATCTATAACTTCCTAACTTCTTCCTAAAATTAGTTTTAAGTGTTAGTTTGCTAAACATAATAATACTCCCTTATTTAACCCTTAATTTAAGTAGCACTTTCTTTATTCTTTTAATATTTCCTCTCAACATATATTTACAATCCGTAATTGCTCTTTAATATATTAAAATAATGACCCACCCCACAGACAAAGCAAGTTCAAGCACTGATAAGCTTTCCCTGATAAGCTTGCCACAAGCGCTCTTCTTTTTTAAGGGCGCTTTATCTTCGCTTATATATCTCTTTTCTTCGACAGCATCGTCATTGGGCAGGAAAGTTCAACAAACTCGAAAGAGAGAACCAAAGAGAGAGAGACTCTCTTACGAACTCTTAAGCTTCGCAGAGCTTTTCACCACGTAAGAGAAAAGACTGGTGAGTTGTGCAAGCTTTCGGGTAAGCTTTTTTCGTACTTGTCATTTTAAATATTTTGCACTTGGACATTTTTTACGGTGCGTATGAGTGATGTGTGTGCGGAGCATTGCGCATACGTCACGTCAGCAGGTGGAATATCTAGGCTGGAGGCTGAGGCCAGTAATGAGATTGTTAAATCAAACGTAGATGACTTCACGCCTGAGTGGATAATTTACGACACCGCTGGCCCCGTCTGCCTGTCAAGGGTTAAGCATTGAGTTTGCATTTAAAATGCAGAAATCTTTTTCATTTCTGCCTTCGCAGCTGAGTCACTGTGATTCCGATCATCGCCGACTGACGTGAGTGTTCCAGATTGTTTGTTTATTCAAACTCTGGCTTTGTCATCGAGTCGCTTCGGTTTACCCCACCACTGGCACTGGTCAATGAACCTAGCCGCCCGAATGAGGCCACAGAAACGTAACGAACAACGAACAACGAGCAACATTTAATAATCATTCCGGCGATGCGACGAAAGTAAAAGTGAAAGTTGTTTGTCTGTTTTTTCATATACATATTTTCGGGTAGAAATTTTCGTGCGTGCCATGGAAATGCAGGCAACTCGATTGGTCAACAATGTTGGGTAGGCCTATAAAGGTTGCATAACGCCCCGCAGATTGGGGCTAAAGACCGAATACACCAAAAGGCGGAAAGACGGAGAGACAACTGGATCCAACTGGGCCAAAGGTGGCCCAAAAACGAAACGATTGCGATGCGATAACAGTCTTGTAATTTAATGGGCTTATTTATAATTACATCTGTTATTTCTCAATGACCAAGAGGTGTGGGAACTACAATTTAATATTATTTTCTGAATTTGTAAATAAGAATTTGAAAATTTGTTAATATCTCAGCTCTCACGTACATGGCAAATCTTATATAAGAGCCTCAAGAGGAAACCAGTTCAATAGCATCGCTTTGGTCATAATTGACATTCACAATAATGCCGGCAATTAAAAGCCAATTAACAAGTTTCACTTTCACTGCGAAAAGACGAGACGAGACGCTAGCCCCATTTAGCGCCGTGCCATCCCAAGTGCCTTGTATCAAGTTGCTTTCTAAACTCGAATTGTTTATGATTTCTTGTTAGTGTTTGGGCATTTGTGCGGCCAGCTTCCTGAATTACGGGGAAATAATAATAAACGAAAGCCGAAAAGCAAACATGTTGTTTACGAGACTCTCGAGTTCATTGCACCCACAAAGCGGAGAAAGAGGCAACAGGAGGCCTACTTTCGGTTTTGGGGTAAAGCCGAGGTGATTCACAGACACCTTTTAGATGGCTTTACGTAAAGTCACATAAGCGACACAATTGTTGTTGCTTTGGTTTTTGGTTTGCTTGCGTAAGTTGTTTACAACGCGATCGAAGCGTGTGGAAAGAGCCACACGAACAAACAAAGGGGGGCACACACAAAAGAAATGATATGCCAAAGAAAGGGGCCGAAAAAAATAAACCCCCGAAGTAATAATAATATTAATAATAATAAAGCCATCATGCATTTGTTTTGGAGTTTCTGGAAATTTCTCAAGACAAAAGAAAGCCCCCGCATAAGCAAGTATTTTGTATTTTGATTTTTATTTTCGGTTTGGAGCCTTCGACGACGTTGTAGTCGTCGTTGTTGTTGGCTTTTGTGGGTCATGAAAAATGCCTCAATGAAAAACATCGGGGAGGTCGCAGCCGTGCATATAGCACACATCACTTGACATCGCTCGGATCGCTCAGGGTAGAGTAGACCCTGTGCTATATTATTAATTTTACATGAAAAGGTCGTGCCTCGTTTTATTTCTCATCGATGAAGCGGCCAGAACAAAAGGCGAAAATCAAACAAAAGGCATTCAGAAAGCACAGGCAAATTAAAATGAATTTCATTGTTTTTAAGGCTAATTTGGCATCCATCACATCTCGTATGAGTTATGTGTGGAACTTACAGAGATCGATTGCATACAAAATTATATCCTATTAATAATATAAAACTAT